CTGCTCCGCCGCTGTCTACCGCATGGGGACCGCGCGTTCTGGGCCGTTGCCGCCCCCTGGTACGACGTAACCGTTCACCACGTACAACTGCAGAACCTCGTCACTTACAACTGTAGATTTCGCTATTTATGCAGAAAAGCTACGTTCTGTACAGAACTAGGAGTTCTGCAGTAGTAAGTTACGAAATTCTTAGTTATGATTGACGAACGTTTTAGTTCTACAGTTATAAGTGTAGAACAAAAATTCGCCACTTACAAGGGACAAACTGTTTTCCACTCTTATCAGCAGAGTAAGTTCAAAAACGTTCACCAGAAATCAGAAAATATTTCCAAAAAGTAAGTAAGTAGACGCGGATGCTGTCATACTGCTGGGTAGTTTTGTAAAGGGGCACAGTTGCAATCGTGTCTTTAGAGAATGTCATCAGTTTTTCCCGGGATCATGAGAAGTTTGCCTGAAGTCCCACCCACCCCGCTGTGCGTGGCGCCCCGTGTCGCGGCGCCGCGTGATGCGTCTGTGTTTTATGGTCGCTCCGCGGTAATGAAACCGACCGGCGAGCGGGAAAGGGTCGCTAATTCAAATGGGGTAGACCATCAATCTAGGACAGACTCACGCACAAAATAGCAGCAAAGTACGGAGAGCTCCCGAACGTCTCCTGGCATATTTTACTTGGAAATTCAGCACATATTTTTGTGAGTTCCTCATTATTTTGAAAAGGAACGTTCTAGAAAAAGAACAGTTACTTGGTCACGTAAAAAGGACTTAAAGCGATTTGATTTGTCAAAAAACATATGGAAATTTCTTCCAATAAAACAACAATTTTCAAGACAGTGGAAAGTCAGTGCAAATGGATAAACTATGTTAATTTTGTAGTTTTCGGATGGTGCTCTATATAGCTGCAATGGAGGGTATCTACTCCCCGCAGCCCTGTCCTTATGGCAATAAGGGGAAAACATTTAACGACGCTACGCACAGGACAACCTCGGGCTGCGTGCGAGATGACGCGCACTCCGCACGCGTCCTCTCACCCCCCGCAACGCGGCCGTGCGAATAGCGTGTCGTCGCTCAGCCACACACACACACAGACGCATGCGCGCACAGACACACGCACACACACACACACACAGAGTAGAGTCGAGCCAAGCCAAAAAACACGTTGGTTCGCTGGCATGACGCCGAATTCAAGGAAATTAATGTACATTGTAAGGGAGGGAGGAGGATAAGGGTAAAAATATAAATAAAGCTGGAACAGAGCTCGGCAGAGCGCAACGCAGCGAGCAGGTTTGGTGGGGATAGCGGGAACATGGGGGCTGGCTGCGCACGAGATGGTTCTGAGGTAATGAGTGAACAAATTAAATTTACGT